TCTGGATGTACGAATGTCATACTCGTCGGCTTGGACTACAGCATTGATTTCTTCTTCCAGCTTATCCATTTTGTTCACTTGAGGCACGCATATAGCTGGAGGTTTGGGTGCTCTGCTTATTTGCTGGTCTTTGGCAGTCTCACAAGCTTGTTCGTCCTGGCTTTCTTCTTCCAGATCCATAATAGAATCTGCTTCCTCAGCAAGCGCTGCGTAGCGATTGCTGCTTAGTGTACTGCTTGCAGACACTGTTTTGGAGGGCACTTTTTGTTGGCCAGTAGCTTGCACCTTTGCCTTACGAATTGTATTGGTTTGCGCTCCACCTTTTCGCTTCTTGCTTACGCCTAGTTGGAATTGGCATTTGACATTATGCGTAGCTATACGTGCCAAGGTGTCGTTCAGTGACTTGTTGCCCGCCAACATTGTTGAGGTCATGTTGGGCCCTTCAGTGGCCGCCACAGTGTAGGTGGAAGTTGGAGCACAGCTTGCTTGCGTCATAGTTACAGTACATGTGTAACTTGTATGGCAACTCGTTGTTAGCGATGAGAACGAAATGTTTGTTCTGTTTGCCAAATTATCTAAATTACTGTTTGTTGGCATCCCATTACTTGTAAGCTGTGAGCGTAATTGTGAACGCATGGTAGCAGGGTCAGCGTACGATATCTTCCTCATCATCTCTGTCTTCGAACTTCTCTCACTAAGAAGCGAGCAAGACGACAAGTCTTCATCCATTCTTACAATTGCTACTATTTAAATAGTTAAATAGGCAATTGTAGGTAGCTTCCGCAGTTCAAAAAATATGCAAGCGCAAGGTAAAAGGGTGTCGACCTCTCGCTAGCGCGGAGCGCAGGGCGAGGGGCAAGCGAAACACCGCTAAAGTCTCTCTCTTTACTGTAAGTTACCGTAATATGCAGCCGCCACCGCTCAGCAGTGGCTAAAAATAGCTCGCGTTTCGTTTTATTTCCAAATACTGATTTCTTATTTTTGCAAATAAATGTTGATTTTTTGTCAGATGTATCGCTATCGATGAATCACTCTTTCTCTAAAACTTATGTACAGCCAGACACAGGCAGCAAGAAAGGGCGAGAGAGAGAGAGAGAGAGTGTAATTCACATAGTAATGTTATGTTAAAGTGTATGTGTGTATATAGGTCAGGTTTACAAAAAGACTAAAAACCATATGCAAAAATGTTAGTTAAACTGTTAAAACTTTCTAACAGTTTCGTAAGCCGAAAATAATTAAGAGCGTGATAGAGAGAGAGAGAGAGAGAAGGAGAGGGAGAGAGTAACTCGAGTGCGACTTGTCACTGTTTATTCTTTATTTTATAGACTTTAAAATGTAATTACCATGCTGACAGCGCATGGAAATTAATGTTATTTTTAAACAATTGCTGTCTCATTATTATTTTTATAATTTATTTCGCTGAGAAAGACCCTAAATTTGTTGCAGGTGCTGGTGTTGGTGGGCGTTGCGGCAGGGTCTCCCATTGTGTTTCATTTCTGTTTTGTTTTATTTTAAAAATATTTTGCCCCCAACAATTGTTCAAACAATTTGTGTAAATGTTGGCAACATTCGTGGCTATATATAATAATAACAATAAATAAATAAAAACAGGCAGCGACAAGCTCGGCTAGAGCAGCAATAAGAATAACAACAACAACATGTCAGAATAGTAACAACAACAAAGCGGCTCGAGACAAAAGTTTTTTTTTTTTTAGTTCGTGCGCTGTTGGAGCGTAGCCGAAGCTGCCACAGCTGCAGCTGGGGCCCAGACAATGGCGACACACAGCAGTCCTGAAGACAACTCCTCGCGGCAGATTGACAAATGTGTGCCACGCTTCATCATCTGGAAGAAAGAAGAAAGAAAAGCCTGAAAGGCAAGGCGCACAAATGTGACAGCCGACAGTTGTATACACTTACGCGTACAGTGGGGTGTGTGCTGCACTGAAATTCAATTTGCGCTAACAAGACGCATACATATGCATACATATACATATGGGTATTTGTATGTGTTATAATAAGCATGTAGATTAATTGTAGAGGGCAAGACCTTAGACCGTTCGCTGCTGACCTTTTACGCGACTCGAATTCCTAAGCGTTAGCACGAAATACACAATTTCAAATGCACGAAACGAATTGAATTGGAGGCAACTTCAATGATGATGATGATATATATATGACTATATTATAAACATGCATATAAATAGTTACAGTGAAAGCTCGACCGAGTGCACTGAAATTACAAACAGCTAAAAAGGGTTTACTTGCAGTTGAGCAGAGGCTCTAGGCAGCTGTTCGTTAGCAGAGCTTTCACTGTACTCTGCTGTATTTTGTATTTGGTTTGTTTTTTTCTATCTTAAGTGAAGGCCTTCTGTCATTAACCAAGATTTCGGCTGTGCCACCTTTCACCAGCTGTGGTGAGGCAATTGTCCATTGTTGCGGCTGCTATTGCTACTGTTGCTGCTGCTGTTGTTGCTGCTGCTGATGCTGTTGCTGTTGCGACTATTGCCGTTGTTATTGTTATGATTACCTCACATTCCAGCTGGGAGCCTCGACAGTTGATTTATGATTCACGCTTCAAGCATCTCGCATTGATTTTATTCAAATTGCCTATCCGCAGCAAGTGCAAAGCGAATAAGCTGAAATAACAACAAAAAACATCTACAACAACAATTCAATTTGGCTTATTAAAATGCCAATTGGTGCATTGCGCGTGGGCCGACGTCGCATTGTGCAAAAATTGCATGCCAAAAAACAAAAAAATGAGAGAAGGAAAAATATTGCACGTATGACAAACGGCCGCAAAATGCCTAAGGCCGGCAGGCGCAAAGGGGGCGGGACTGAGCTGGGAACTTGGTTAGCTAGACGATATTAAAGTCAAGCAAACAAAAAAAAAAACTGGCATTCAATAGGGAAACGTGCAACATAAATTTCACACGCTTTGGCAGAGCAGCTGCTGATGGCAGCGTGTCGAAACATCTGCCGAACATCGCATGAACTAGGCTAGACTAAACCCTAGTGGCATTAACTAAATTAGTCACAGGCGAATTTGATCGGTACTCATGTCTTTTTAAGTATTTGATTACTATACTTATATTGTTTATTTTGTTATTCCAACATTCCAAGTTTGTTTATTCGTGCTGCGTCGTGTCACGACACGCAACGCGCTCCGCTTTATTAACAACACGTGATTTGCTTTGTATGGCTGTATTAGGGTGCGACCAATCAGGAAGAAGGAGGAGGCGAAAGAGGGGCAGCGGGTTTCATTTGCAAGCCATTTCCGTAAGCTTTTGGCCGCCCACCGTTAGACATGGAATACTATGTAGCATGTTGTTGTTGTTGTTGTTGTTGTTGCCGTTGTTGCACTTGTTGATGGCCGAGATTAGTACGTAACAGCGTGTGCCTCCTCACTGTCTCTGTGTGTGTGCGTGCGTGTGTGTGTGTGTGTTTATTTCGCTGCTGATTTTCTATGATATTCACCGTGTGTACGTTTGCTCTGTTTGCCTGTGTTTGTGTGTGTATTTCGCGTATTTCCGCTAGGCAAAAGCTAACACGTAACGTTTTTTTTTTTTTCGATTGTGTAGTTGTGCGAATTATTTTGTCTGTTGTTGGTTTTGCGCACGTTTTGCTACTCACTCTCTGTCTCTCTCTCGCTCTTCCACTCTCCGGGTCTCTCTCACTCGCTCACTGTTGCTCTTTTGAATTCGCTTTCAAGGTAAAATCAATTGAGATCAAACTAATTGAAAATGTTTTTCAAAACGGGTGTTGTTTTTGCTATTTTTTTTGTTTTTTTTGTATCTATAGTATATTTGTGTGTATTTTTATAGCAGCATATTTTCATAAACAATTGTGCGGCGCGCGTGTAAAAATAGTCGCTTTGCAGCATTAACAACAACAAGAACAATATAAATTTCTGAAACTATGCGCTAAACTAGTTGATTAGCTAAATAAAAAAATATAAAAAATATACAAAAATATATACATACACATATGTATACTATCATGCGAATCAGATCAGTTTAGATCAGCAGACACAGTTCATTCACTTAAGCGGCAATCAGTGTTGGCTGTGACTACTGTAATTGTCTGGTTTTCAGTGTTGCTAAGCTCAGTTAGG